GTGTTGGAAAAAGATGGGTCCCAAACAGATATGAACTAAATTTGTATAAAAGAGATAAGAGATAGAAGTTCACACAAAATGTCCTTTACTTCAATAATGAGTAAGAAGAAAGCAAGAAATATGGAGAGGGACTTGAGCTACATATTGGTTAGTGAGAGGACAGGCAGAACTGCTGAGTTTATTGAACTAATCTGTCCTGAAATTCCATCACTAGTGAAAGTGATGGAATTTAACTTATGTTAAATAAATATTGTACCAAGCTTCCTAGGTACCTGCCAGAGAAAGCACCTAACATTAAGGTGCCCATTGTCTTGGTAGACAGACACTGAATTTTCAAGTGATGAAAGAAAGGCATGACATCATGAGTTTTTTCCACTGGCAATAGCACTATCCCTGTGAGAATGACTTTTCCCTTTACATCTTCCCATGACTTTCCAAAAGGTTTCTTGGAAGCCTCAAGCCAAATGAAGAGTTGCACACATAATAATCATAGTTACCTGAGTCTTGCTTACAAACACCACCTGTATGACAACTTGTAAAATGAGTTCAGTTGAGCTTTTTCCTGTCACTAATATATGAAATTATCTGTTCCTTGCTAATCGCAAGAAAATTATCACAGTTTGTTATTTTTACTTTCCCCAGGGAATATGTGACTAGTGATATTTGAATTTAAAACAAAAATGATGCTGTGATAGGGAAGACCACTGAAAATATATGTAAATTAATTTATTAAAAAGACTTTTGCTATAGGGCACATGCTCTCACCAGAGAGACAGAGAAAGACAGAAATTGAGAAATCACTCCCCTGGAGGATGGTCATTTCAGAATCCCTTCTCCTCCACTCTCCTCTCAGGATTTCGGGCATGCATGCACATACACCAGGCATGAGTTTGAAGCCGTTGGGTCTGGTACTCAAACCACAGTTGATTACATGGGAGTCCAGCAAAATAACCATTGCATCATTAGCTGATCCCTATATAAATTATTTTTATAAAAAAATATTGTGATTTTGGGGGCTGGCAGGTGGTGTGTTGGTTAAAGGCGCTGGATTCCCACATTGTCAACTGCAGTTTGAGTCCCAGACCTGACAACTTGCTTTCTCTCTTTCTCTCTCTTTCTCTGGTCAAATAAAATAATAGTAGCAAATGGAAATAAATAAGTAAATAAATCATTAAAAAATATTGTGAATTAGGTTTTTTTTTTTTTGAGAGGTTTTTATTTTTTTCGCTATAGGGCGCGTGTGCTCACCAGACAGACAGAGAGAGACAGAGAGACAGAAAGCGAGAAATCACCCCCCAGGGGGGATGGTCACGCCGCAATCCCTTCTCCTTCATTCTCCTCTTGGGATCTTGGGCACACACACACACGCGCCCAGCGTGAGTTTTAAGCCACTGGGTCCGGGATGTGAACCGCGGTCGACTACGTGGGAGTCCAGCGACATAGCCATTACGCTAACTGCTGGTTCCTGTGAATTAGGTTTTTAGACACGTGATTTTTTGAAAAATGTTTTAGCATATTTTGTCTTAGGAAAAGCACTTTAAAGATGATTTAATTCCATCTAAGGATAGTATTATGATGGAACCAATTTCTTAAATTGATGCGTTGATACACTTGGGGTCTGAGGTTAGAGAAGAATGTCAAAAATCAAGTATTCACTTGAGCATCTACTATGTGCTTGGCACTAAGCTAGGTGCTTTATATATTTTATCTCTTTGAATACTCTTGTAGGATATATAATGTACATTTAAGAGTATAACTCTTCCCCTTTTGGTTATAACTAAATGGAAATTCTTTCCAGTTAAGTGAATTACTAAAGATTACACTGCTCAGTACTATAAGGTTTTGTAAACTCAGATGATTGAAATGACAGCCGCCTGTATCCTTTCCACTCTGCCATGCTGTCTTCAAACTACAATGTAACTCTAAACACAAACTTTAAAAAGGAGCACATAAAAGCACTGGAAATTGTTATGGACACTGGGGAAAAAGTGGAAGGAGAGGGGGAGAGGGGAAGAGTGTAGAAAAGGAAATTTGGGGAAAAAATAGGTAAGATATTTGTGGGACACAGATAGGGTTTATTACCTGTTGATAATGACATACATAGTATTTTAAACTAGACTGGCCTGAGGTGTATATCATTATGGGTAAAGCCTCTTTACAATGTAAATGATGTATAGCGATTGAATGTATAAATAATAATGATAAAAACTAAAAAGGGGCAAAATTTCAGTTTTAAAAGAGCCTGCCTTGTATCTGGTCAATTTTCCCTTGAGATTCTTCCATCATGTGTCACAACTACAGGGTGCATGTACACACCAAGGAGCCTTACTGAGAGAGTTAACTCTCTCTCTCTCTCTGTCCCTCTTTGTCCATAGGAACTGTGCAACCAGTTTACCCTGTCCTCACTATGAACAAGAATGGACATTTAAGTGGAATTACAAATTCTAAACTTTCAAGAACACTATTCTACTTTCAGCAGCAATTCAACCTTAACCTCATAAAATATTGAAAAAAAACAAGCAAAAATACCCATACAAAAAGCCTCTAATATTTAACAAACATGCATAGGAATCTCAAACAGCAACATAAATAACAAAATTGGAAGCAATATATTAGTTACCCCACTCTGCCTGTTTTCTAAATAAACAATATGTAGTCTGGCCACATATATTAATAGATGTACTATGTTAGTGAAGGACAATCACAGCATTACAATTGTCACTAGACAACATTCTTAATCCTGTGATAGTGTTCCTTTCTCTGATAATTGTCCCTCAGACTGTTTCTACCCTCATCCCTCTAGTTTAAATTTTACATTTACATTATTGAAATAGCCTTTAATAATATGCATTTCACAGATCTTTCTCCATGGAATTTTTTTCTCATGCCAGACTTTATAGATTTCAGTTTATGAATATAATCAACTTATATTTTCATTAAGTCCTTACATCAACCCTATGAGGTAGACATTAATTCCCAAATTTAATGAATTAGGGCAAGGCTGAGAGATTTGGTATTATTAAGAACACATAACTTGAAAGAGACAGCATTAGGACAGGAACCCAGGTCTTCATATCATGAAGTTAGTCCACATTCATTTATATCACCAATAGTTCCCCATATTCTTTTAATCCAGTGCCCTACTCATGTTTCTAGTATTGATTAAGGGCTTTCCACATAATTGATCCAAAATCAAAGTGGAAGTATCAGGATTTAGAGACAGGTGACTTGTGTGTAAATCCTGGATCCACCACATAGTAGCTATCTAAGTCTTTGAAAGTAAAGTAACCTCTTTGAATTCAAGTTTCCTTATCAAACAATAAGGACAATAATAACACCATGCCTTCTTAAGTTGATCGTTGTGAGAAGTAGCCAATGAAGTCTATCTTGCACAAAGTTGCTAGAGTTAACTTTCTAAAGCATACCATCAGTATTTTCCTGCTCAATAACCTTCACTCAGTCAGTCTCAATTGCCTACTAAAAAAAGCCCAAAGTTTTTAACTTAACACACAATGATGTTATGACCTGGCCATAATGTATCATGTTAATCCTATCCCTAGTACTTCTTATCATGTGTCTTCCATGCCATACAAATCAAACCTCTAGCTAATCCTGAAAACCAAAATGTCCTTTCCCAAATCTTGGACTTTGTTCATGTGATTCCCTCTTTCTAGAATGTTATCTCCATGCAATACCACAAAACCACATATGGAAATTCAGCCTATTTTTCAAAGTCTGGGTCATTTCCCAGCTCTTCGATAAAGCCTTTCTTTATCTACCTTTATCTCCTCTTTTTTGTTCTCAAAGCATGCTGTTTGTTCCTCTTTTATGACAGACAACAAAACACTTTGTTTTGTATTATGTTTTATGTGCATGTCATTTTTCCCTAATAGAAAAACTAAGGAAAAGCAAAGTTATAGACCATATTAACCATATAAAATTATTGATATTTGACCTATAAAATGACAACTCCAAATTATTTAATTTAATAAAATGGCTTTTTTATGGTTATTAGTAACCCATGTAATATAAAATATTTAACACCCTTTGGATTTTGTTTAAACATAGTCTAGAAGCCAACATCTCTAAGCTCATATCCAGAGGAAGCACAACTTTAGGCTTTTTTTCAGATTGGGAAAAACATAGATTTTAACTTATTTGTAGTTTGTTTCGATTAATATGGCCAGAGTGCATATTTCAAAGTTTCAATCCTTAGAAATAATCCCACATATATTTTAGACAAAGCAACCAACTTCTTTTGTGGGCAGTTTCCTTCTTTTATTATTGTTTTCTTTTACTTCTTAATAAGAGTTGCCTATGAGAGAGGTCAATTTGAGATCTAAAACAATACAAATTAAGACTGATTCCTCATTGTTCCATTATTGTTGTTGATTTTGCCAAGATACAAGAAAATTCTTTTTCTTTAACACTTGTATAGCAGATGTTTACAAGATTCCAAAGTCTTCCAAATATAAATTAGTCACTGAGGATTGTATCCCAGGAGATTTCTTCTTAGTAACTAAATTTTAGTTTCTGTTTTGTTGATGTAATACATAGTAACATATACTCATTCCGCCTTGAGTTAATACAATATATTCTCAAAGAAGACATACAGGAAATAATTAGTTTGTGAAATGTGACTATTACAATCTTCTTAGATGGTTTCATTTACAATTCATTGTTCACTTAAATGTCATACCTCGTGAAAATATTTAGTGCTATGCAATTGTTGGGCCCATTTTAGGGCTGAAGATCAGCTAGAAGGTATTAATTAATCAGTTCATAATTTATCTCATAGAGTGAATATTATCAATGGAATTGAATTATTTCTTCTTATAAAAGGAGTTGGGAAAATTTGTTTTAAAAATGCTTTAACAAAACACAAATACCATTGATATAACTCAATATTTTGATGAAAATTTAATGTAGGTACCTGTACAGAAATGTAAGAATGGTTTAAAAGTGTTATTTCAGTTTGATAAGATATCAACTGATTGATCTTACCTGCTCACATACCTGGCTTGATATACCATGACATAATTCATTGCCAGTGCTTGTAGAAATTGAGTCATTTCCTGTGATAGTTTGGATATGCTCACTAGAATGGGATTGTTGACAGTGTGGAGAGTGGATAATCTGGGGTTGTTGGATGATGTGATGATGACATTGAACTTGAGGATAGCATTCCTAAAACACATACACATACCAAAAACAGGCACTGAGAAAGAAAATTACTAATTAAGAAAAAAACTGAAACCATTTAAAAAGTTTAATGTATAATTTCAGATCATTTAAACCATAAGATTCGTAGTTTAAATTAGTGATACACTATTTTTCAAAGTATTCCATTGGGAAAGTTTGTATTGAAATCTATTTTTATATGATCAGTGTCTGTTACCATTCAAATACTTACCTAGATTGGCCAGGGAATTGAATGTTCTGATTAAATTAATATTCCAGTTATACTTAACACTAAATCTATAATGAATATTAATATTAATTAATTTTTCTTTGATGATTCAACAGGCACTTCAAGACCTAATTCTATAATAATACTATAATACTGAAGATGTAGATAGATATAAAATTAGAAAATAATATAATGTAGTGATTTTCAATGTCAGGAAGCATATTAGAGGCACAGCAGGGGAGCACACAGTTCTTAAGCTTATGAAAATTGAGCATAAATTTTTTAAAATTCAAAAACCAGAGACTGAAGCTTCAAAACAAGGAAAACATGGATTCTAACTCTGATTCTATCACTTCCTACCTGTTATCTTGACAAACTATATATGCAACCTTTATGAATCTCAGTTACTTCATTTATAAAAGTGGAGATGGTACAAGTCTCATTGGGTATCCATGAAGACTAAATGAATTAATATCTATACACTGACTAATACAAAGTAAAAGACTGTAAACATTTATTATTATTACTATTACTAATACTACATCATCAGCTTTATTATTATGTGCCTCACCAATTTTATAGGTAACAAAAAACAAGCTCCGAAGTTCAGAAAAATAATATAATTTCCTTACAAAAACACAGCAAATTAATGGCAAAATTAGGCCTATGACTTACAATTTCTAGCTAAGAGTTATTTCAGGATATTAGGCTGAACTTCACTGAAAAATATTCTGGAATTTTTTTATTATTAATTTATACATTCACTCATTTTACATCATTTAGATTGTAAAGAAACTTTACCCAGCATGATATACACCTCAGACCAGCCCAGTTGAGAATACTACACACATCATCATCAACAGGTAATAAGCCATATCTGCGTCCCACAAATGTCTTACCTCTCTACTTTTTCCCCAAAATTTCCTTTCCTACACTCTTCCCCCTCCCACTCTCCTTCCACTTTATCCCCATAACAATTTTGAATGCCTTTATGTCCCCCCATCTCTCAGTCTCTACCATACAGTGGAGACATTCAGTACATGTTAAGTGGAGACATACAATGTCTCTCCTTCATAGCCTGATTTGCTTCACTCAGCAATAAATCTTCCATATTCATACACTTTATATCAAATGCCAGGATCTTGTTTTTTTGTTTTTTTGGGTTTTTTTGGCTGAATAGTAGTCCATGGAGTATATGTGCCACATTTTTTCAATCCATTCATCTGTGGACATTTAGGTTGGTTGCATGTTTTAGCAATTGTAAATAATGCCACAATAAGTATAGATGTGCAAGTGGTTTTCCAAATGAGCATTCTCCTGTCCTTTGGGTAGATACCCAAGAGTGGAATAGCTAGATCATATGGTAGTTCTATTTGTAGGTTTTTTAGGAAACTTCATATTGATTTCCACAGTAGCTGGACCAATTTACATTCCCACCAACAATGTAGGAAAGATCCCCTTTCACCACATCCCTGCCACACTTATCATTTTTTTTTATCTTTGCAATTCTGACTGGGGTTAGTTGATATCTTGTCGTAGTTTTGATCTGCATCTCTCTTACAATGAGGGATGTTGAACATTTTATCATACGCTATTTGGCTGATCACATGTCTTCCTTAGAGAGTTGTTTATTCAGCTCATTTCCCAATCTTTTAATTGGGTTAATCATTTTCTTCCAGGCAAGTCACTTGAGTTGCCTTTCTATTCTGGTTATCAGTCCTTTTTGTGAGGCATAGTTTACAAAAATTTTCTCCCATTCCAAGGGTTGTCAACTACACTAATTACTGTATCCTTTACTGTGCAGAAACTTCTTAATCTGATGTAATCCCACTTGTCTATTTGGGAGTTATTGCCTGTGCTTTTGAGGTCTTGCTTAAGAAGTCTTTGCCTACCCCAATGTCTCCCAGAGTTTTCTCAGTGTTTTCCACCAGTCATTTTATAGTTTGAGGTCATAGGTTTAGATATTTGATCCACTTTGAGTTGATTTTTGTTGATGGTGACAAATAAGGGTTCAGATTCATCTTTCTGCAGGTGAATACTCAGTTTTTTTTCAACACCATTTGTTAATATTCTGGAATTTTAAAAACTTAAACTAAATGTTTGCTATTTTATTATTTATTTTTATGGCTTTTTTTTTTCCTGATCAGTATAGAGCACAAACTAAGAAAACATATCTTATTACTTAGGTTTTGGGAATAATCATGTATAATGACTTTGCTGTATTATTCTACTTTGATAAAAAGTACCTAGAAGTCTGTTTTGAAAGAAAAATACTCTATTTTGAATCATAATTCTGTATTCATACACATATAATTAATTTAGATATGTATTCAATGCATACCATACCAAATCATTCATATTATATCTGGCTTTCCAAATAAACCAAAATCTTAAATATTTAGATGTTTATGATTCTGACAGCTTATCCGTTTCATTTTTACAGGTATCAGATAAATAATAATGTGCTAATTTCTATGAATCTGGTAATAACTGCCCATAAGTGCTAATAAAAAATAAAATTTGTAGCCTGTAGGTGGCATAGTGGTTAAGGTACTGGACTCTTATGTGGCCGACTATGGTTCAAGTCCAGGACCTGGTGGCTTGAAACTCACACCAGGTTTATGTGTGTGCATCCCCAAACTCCTAAGAGGAGAATGGAGAAGAAAGGATTGTGGCATGGCCATCCCCCATGGAGAGGGTGATTTCTCACTTTCTTTCTTTCTTTGTCTCTGGCAAGTGCATATGCCCTATAGCAAAAATCTCAAATAAATAAATAAATAAAATGTATTCTTGTGTGATGTTTAAAAAGAAAAAACCTAGTTAATCAGTTTCATCTGTATGTGAGAAAAATTACTGTGTCATCAAAACTGGTTTGATATTATTTAACCGCCTATTATGGATTGAGTTGTAACTCCCCCAAATTAAATGAAGTTTGAACACTTGGTAAGTTGGAATGTGATCATATTTGGAAATAAGATCCTTATAGAGGTAATCAGTTAAAATGAGATAATTAGAATAGATCCCTATTTAATGTGACTGATATCCTTATTAAAATGGGAAATTTGAACAGAGAGAAAGATATGCACAGAGAGAAGACAATATGAAGACATAGAGGGAGGATGCCATGTGAAGACTGGATTGGAGTGATGAATCTACTAGTCAGGAAATGCCTGAGGCTACCAGAAGCTGGGAGACAGTCATGGAAGAATTTCCTGGCAGGTTCAGAATGAAAGTGACCCTACCCACACGGTAATTTCAAACTTCTGGCTTCCAGATAAGTTTCCATTGTTTTAAGCCATCCAGTTTCTGGTACTTTATTATGGCAGCCCTAAAAAAATTAATACACTGCCCTAGTTAAAAAACAAACAAACCAAAAAAAACTGTCTAAGAGACAAGTCCTACTCTTTGTCTGGGCTAGACATGCTTGTATCCACTAAACAGAGCAATGTGAAACCTCTGATGCTTACAGTAACAATTGTGCATGAAAGAAGGACTTAGAGGGTTCTAGATGCCATGGAATTACCATGATGCTGCAATAGTTTTGTACTCCATACTCTGATTTTTAATTAAACTTAATGGAATTTTTAAAATGTGATTTAAAACTTTAGTTTTCTAGGTGATTTAAAGTATACAGTATTTTACATATCTGTGTACATATTGTTGATTTAAAATTCATTTTATATTCAAAGAATTAGTACAAAATTGTAATGATTTAAATTATGATTTTTATAAGAGTAGTTTAAAAGAAAATATTAAAGGCACTGGGATAGTTACATTAAGTTCAGATTGTACCATTAATTTTCTATGTGACTTTACATACTTTGAATTCAGTTTCCTTTTCAGTAAAATAGGAACAGTAACACTTCACATGTGAAAATGGATATGAAAGTATTAAGAATAATATGAAGAACTGTAAACATAAAACATAGTATTATAACTCATATAGATAATCTTGCCTGGCACTTGACAATTGAAAGTCATTTTAGCTCTACTAAAATATTCATAATTTGAAAATATACACTTATAAAATAAGTTTTAAAATAAATGTACTTACTTGATCTGTATTCAGCTTCTCTACTTTTCTTATTGTTTTTTCATAAATAACATTATTTCCTGGGAAGAAATGGCCTCCTCTTAGGAATGGAGACAGTGGTTCCTATAAGGAAAATAAAGACAATGCTTTGTTTTGAAAGGTATGTTTTCAGAGGAACCTTAACTTAAGCAAATATCCTCTCTAATAGGCTCTGAGGCAGTGTCAGGTTTTAGGAAGAAAGTGGAATGACATACAATAACGTTCTGACAGATGAAAATAAATAGCAATAAAGACAGTTAATTTTATCAAAGAGAATGATCTAGATTCCTCCCATTACATTTTACTAGGTCTGAAAAAGTTTTTTGAGAATATTGTAAGGTTAGAAGAGAGTGGGAAAGATACTTTCTTCTGTTTCTAAGGAAAGAGAGTGGGTTTCCTCTGAGATAGATAAGCATAAGGTCAATCTCATTTAAATTGGGTTGACTGGCAGATTTCTTTCTATGCAAAAGCATTATGAGAGAAATGCAAAATAAACATAATTCAGTACTAGTAGATCATAAAGTAGGTAAAGCTATATTAAAGATTTTTTTCTAGGACTTAATTTGGTTGTGCTTGAATTGTACAATTCTTACTTGTGATTATAATCAAGGCTAAGGCTCTTAGTACAACATATGTTTTAAATATTGAGAACAGAGTAGAGGCTTTAAGAGCCACTGTATCTCTGCATAATCAACCAAATTGCTGTAGGATTAGCCAAGTGCTTAGAAGATGTCTGTCAATGAAATAAAGGCTAGTAATATGTCCAAGATCTGAAAGAAACCAGGGAAGAGCTAATAAGAATCAGACCAGGAGTATAAAATAAATGTAATGTGCAATAAATTCTTCTCCCATCTTCTGGTTTTAATTTTAGCCTCCACTTTTGTAAGGAGCACTGGGTTTGTTTTATTATAAAAGAAATGTTGCATTCATTTATTTTGAAATATAAGGGAATAATACAGAAAGGATGGTGGCCAGGAGGGGTGGACAAGCCTGTTACCAGTTAATGTTCTTAGGGCCATTTTTAAATCAACATTATGCACTAGGATCTTTGTAGTCTGCTATCATAAATGTTCTTAGAACAATTGAACTAAAACAATGAGAAAGGAAGACACTATTGAACCAAAACCTATATACTTCTTATATTTAAGTTTGAATAAAAGGTGGATGATTTAGCTAAATGTTCCACATATACTTCGATAAAACAGATATATAAGTGACTAAGTTTGACTAGTTGATGAATTATTAAATACAAAGATGAACATATTTAGAGAGATTCTCCTAGAATCTATTCGCTGTTTGTATTTGTAGAAGAGCCTCTTTGGTAATTGTTTGCAATCAAGTAACACATTTTAGTGCTTGCTATGCACAATGTATTTTTCTAAGATCTATGAGGTATACATGAATCAGACCCATATTATTAGAAGTGTCATTTAATACTGATCTGTGTTCCTCAAACTATGGCAGACAGCCCATTTTTCTACTGTCCTTAATCTAAGAATGGTATTTAGATTTTAAAGGACTGCAGATAAAAACAAAGAAGACTAAGGCTCCATGTGGTCAGCAAAGCCTGTACTATTTTATATATAGCCTTTACAGAAAAATGTTGGCATTTCCTGGTCTAGAAAATATATGAACACAAACATTCATTATACAAGGTAAAAAGTTACAAGTACCCACAGAGGTAGGACTTATGGGACAGAGTTCAGAGGAAGAAAAACTGATTTCTGTATGGCAATGTTCAGGTAGGATACTTGGGTCAGGTAGCATTTGAAAAAATGCTTTTTGGATAGGAGAAGATGGAAGAAAATGGTATTACAAATAAAGGAAAGAAAATAATTCAATTCAGTTTAGAAAAGTGTTATGTTATCCAAGGGGACTTCAAAAAATCTGTGGGAAAATTGAATTACAGTACAGTTAATTTTGGTGCAAATCTTTAAAAATTTATTTCATGACTGAAAGAGATAGAGGAAAGGAGGAAGAGAGAGAGAGAGAGAGCAGGAGACATCAACTCCCCAGCTTAAGCCAGCCCAGATCACAGTCACGTGTGTGCCATACTCAAAGAGGTCTCAGCGGTGAATCATCAACCTTCTTATGAGGTTCTGTCTGAAAGAGAACTGCATTTTACCACCATGCTACCATTCAGCCTAAAAGTGCAAAGAAATTTTGAAATTGGTGCACATATTTTTCATTTCCCATGAACATTTTGAAGATCCCTCTTATGCAGTGGGCATGTGGGCATGTTTGGTAGATAGAACTTGGTACTGTAAGCAATAAGAAGTCTTTAAGTGCATTTAAACAGGGGTGTGAGGTGAACAGAGTTCTACTTCAGTAAGATTTTTCTTTTGGGGGGGAGAGGTTTTTGCTATAGGGCATGTGCTCTCACCAGAAGGACAGAGAGAGACAGACCAGACAGAAAGCAAGAAATCACCCCCCAGGGGGATGGCCATGCCACAATCCCTTCTCCTCCATTCTCCTCTGGGGATCTTGGGCACGCATGCACACACGCCTGGCGTGAGTTTAAGCCGACAGGTCCAGGACTCGAACCACAGTCTACTATGTAGTAGTCCAGCAACATAGCCATTAGGTCAACTGCTGGTCCCATTTAGTAAGATTAATAAGAGGAGAGAAAGAGTACAAGTGATGAGACAAACTAGAACATTATCCTAATAATCAAGGAGAGTGTTTTTCAAAGATGACTGAAATCTTGAACCTGAGAACTTTATGGCCAATGGTTACCAGAACAAAAACATTGCCTTTTGTATTCTCCTAGGCAGAATCTAGATCTGATTTATGGTTTTATTCTTCATAACTCTTAGTGAAGTATATAATACATAGTAATCACTTTAACTTGTGTCAAATAAATGTGAAGAACCCCCAAAGATATTCTTTTTTTTTTTTTAAATGTACAGATGAGCATTCAGCCCACAATTGAACACAGGTCTGAAGCTATGTGGAAGTTCAAGGTTAAAAGTCTAAATTTCAGAACCAACTACTTTAAAGTGCTATTTAAAGGGGTTAGATGGTGACACAACAATTAAACATGATGCTCTGAGAGGCTGTCCCACATAGGAGGGTACTAGATTCATGTTCAGGGAGCTCCTTGAGTATGCCAGGAATGTGTGTGTGCATGATCTGGGACTGAGGATTGATTGTAGCATCAAGACTATATTGGGGTGCATGCATGCCAGTGTGCGTGCATGTGCATGTAAACACATGGTCTTTCTTTCATGGAAATAAATAAATAAATAAATACACCATTTTAAAAAGGAAATAACTAGTTAAAATCATGCAATTACTGAAAAGGCAAGTGAAGACCAAAGATGGAACTAGACAAGGCCTAACAGATCTGATCATCAGAACAGAAAAATACATAGAAGTCAAGAGAACAGAAAATTTCAGGAAGCAGTAGGAAGGTAAAAGCATAAATGCTTCAGAAAGGTCAACAGGTATGAATTTTAAAGTGGGCTGGATTTGGACTAGTACTAAAAATTCACTAGGTTTGACTACTGAAATCAGTATAAGCAGGTCTAAAAGAGAAAAAGTTGTATGTCATAAAACCTGTATTTTACCTCTTCCTTCATTACCTATGTGCTGTGGAAACTTTAGTAAGTCATTGACTTTCTCGGGGGATGAGTTTCCTTATCATAGTAATAGTAATGCAGGGTATTTTGTCTCAAGTAAAATAATGTATTTTAAAGTGCCCTTAATCTATATTTTAATGTATAAATGGCTTTGGTTTTAAACAATGTAATACAATGTTTAAAATGTTTACTATATTTTAAATAATTTTTGAGAATCTTATTAAAATTCATGAGGATATCACATTAAAAAATATGCAGGGACCAGCAGTTGGTGTAATGGCTATGTTGCTGGACTCCCAGGTAGTAGACCGCGGTTCGTGTCCCGGACCCGGTGGCTTAAAACTCACACTGGGCGCGTGTGCATGCATGCCCAAGATCCCGAGAGGAGAATGGAGGAGAAGGGATTGCGGCATGGCCATCCCCCCTGGGGGCTGATTTCTCGCTTTCTTTCTCTCTGTCTCTCTCTGTCTTTCTGGCGAGTGCACGCACTTTATAGCGAAAACCTCTCCAAAAAAAAAAAAATGCAAAAAGGCTTACTAGGGACAAGGACTTTATCCATCCTGAGTACCTGATAAGGAATGAATAGACCTTTGCGTGAGAAGGGATGACATAAAACTTTATCTTAAGTATATAAGGATCTTCTAAGAGAGGGAAAACAAAATTTTATGCAAAAGCATGAAATTTCTTACTCCATGAACTAAGGTTCATTGTAAATGCTGAACCATTTTCTTATTTAGAAGAAAGATTGTTTGAGCATTAACAATATTGATTCTCTTTAGAATGTATATTGATCTTATTATTTGAAATGACTTACTGAAAAAAAAAAAGCAACACACCTCCAAAGTTAGGGGCATATAACTTCCCCAAATCTATAAGAAAGTAAAACCAAATACAGTTGGCACTCTATATCCACAGGTTCCAATCTGCAGATTTAACCAACCAGAGATCAAAATATTTGGAAAAACACAAAACAAAGGATGATTGTGTCTGTATTGAATATGTATAGACTTTTTCCTTGTGATTATTCCCTAAACAATACAGTAAAGAACTATTTACCCACCATTTACATTGCATTAAATATTATAAATAACCTAAAGATGATTAAAAGTATATATTAGAAGGATGTGGGGGCCAGGAGGTGATGTGGTGGTTAAGGGAGTTGGACTTCCACATGGCCGAACGAGGTTCGAGTCTTGAACCTGGTTGCTTGCTTTCTCACTTCTCTCTCTCTCTCTCACTTTGTCACATTAAGATAAATAATGTTAAATAAAATAATTTTTTTAAAAAAGGAAGGCTGTGATAGGTTACATGCCAAATACTATGCCATTTTAAATGAGGGCAGATTTTGGTATCCTCAGGGTCCCTGGAACCAATCTCCGGATACCAAGAGACAACTGTATTAATATGAATAAACAATTCTAAGCAAAATAAATCGAATTGGAAGTTTCATATTTCTCAACCAAAAAGCTGCTAGATAATATTATTTTGGCAGCTTCTCTTTTT